GCGTCCATGGCGCGGCTGTACGGCCGGGGCCTGCAGCATTACCTGCTGACCTTGGCCTCCATCGCCAACCGGCTGTACAGCCACGCCAGCATCGAGAACCACATCCGCCTGGCCGTGGTGAAGGTGGTGGTGCTGGGCGACAAGGACAAGAGCCTGGAGGTGAGCAAGAACGCGGCCACCACGCTCAAGAACTTCTGCAAGTGGCAGCACCAGCACAACCAGCTGGGGGACGACCACGAGGAGCACTACGACGCCGCCATCCTCTTCACGCGCCAGGTAGGTCCAGCCGGGCGGACGGAGGTCGGGCCGTGGGACAGCCATACTGGTGGCTGGCGTCTTCCGAAAACCACCTGCCCCTCTGGATAGGCTGGCCTGCTTCTTGCAGGACACCCACTCTGCTCCTGTATTCTGGGTAACCCCAGCAGCCGCCCCTGCCTTAAAAAACCAGAGCTGCTTAGACAATCAATCAATCAATCAATCAATCAGGCAGGATGTCTCTAGTCCAAGATATGGTGTCACGGATGCATCAATAGGATAAGAAGGGACTAGAATGCTGGGGGAAATGAAGATAGCTAAGTGGGGAAGGGGAAAAGCAAGTGTGTCTTGGAAATCAGGGAAAATGGAACTTTGACCAACTTCATGGAATGGGCTTGATGGGCCATCCATTGTGGTCATTTTTATCGGTCACCTTCCTTTGTGATGTTTATACATTCGTACTTAAACCTCTTCCACATTCAGTTGAGGGAAGCGTTTCCGAAGCAAGGACTCTTTGGTCAGTCTGGCTTCAGATCGGATGAGGTTCTTGCATGCCCACCCTGTTGGAATCTCATTCCTGGGAAGGAAGGAATGCAGGAGGATGAGGAGGATGCAGAAACCCAATCTTGTGAGGTTCCTTGGTTAGAAACCCAATCTTGTGAGGTTTCTTGGTAATGCCTTTGGCTTGGATGCCCCGTGCACCGCCAGCACTGCCTGCTCAGTGAAAGGTCACAGTCAGCTTACATTTTTTGTGTTTGGGATGAATGTTTCTGAAGCTCCAGTGTGGAAAGATCTGGGCAGAGTTAAGACATGGGGCAGAATGTTTTCTCATGTTTTCCTCTCTTAAGGAAGACCGTTACAGAAAGGGAAAGACATTGATCTTTCTAGGCCCAGAGGTTCTATTTGCACAATCTCTATTTGCACAGTCATCAGACACCATGTGAGTGTGACATGCAGACACCAAAGTCTGGGCTGGCTCTGCGCCTGGCTTGCTCAGCTCTGAGCCTCAGTTTGCACGACTCTTCTCTAACTGGTAGTTTTAAGTTGTGCCTCTCAGATACCTGGTAAGAAGCGACTTTTAAAGCTCATTCTTTAAGTGTTTGAGATCCACCCGGTATAGATGAAGGATTAGAAACTTTGAAAGAGTATGCAAAACCTAGGGACGAAATGGAGCAACCAGAGCTAGGATAGGAAATTCAATGGTGGCTTGCAGGAGGTTTTAGAATCACAGAGCTCCACTACCAAATCCCACCCCCCAGCCCCTTTTTTTTCACTAAGGTACCCTTGGCATGAAGAAAACGTGTTGATAAATTTGGAGTGGAGAAAAACTTGTGGTTTCTGGGGGAGACATAAATGTAAACCACAAGTAAACAAAGACAGCAGAGGGCAGCCTTAGGGAGAACCCAGCAGGACACAGTGCTATGCACCATGGAAAATCTGTCTCCTCATGAACTGATCTCCTGGAAACATCCTTTCATTTCTCCGCACAACAGTCACCTTTGAAACGGAAGAACATTCGTTTTGCATCCTTCAGTGTGAAGTTCTGTAAAACTATTTCTTTCTTCTTTGGTTTCCAAGTTCTTTTTTTTCCTTTTTTTTTGAGCAACTTTCCATGTCTGGATTTCTTGCTTTGCTACATCACAAGAGGCTGCCAAGGAGGAGGCTCCAGAGAGTTTATGGAAGGAAGTTCTGTAAAGACAAAGGGAAAAATGCTTTTGTAGGCAAACTGCTCCAAAGAGTAGGTCATTTTAATGCTTCACTTTCCTTTTTAAATGCAAATGCACATTCCATACTTTTTAAAAAATTAATAGAAGACTGTCACTTCTTACCTCCTGCCCCACAGTTTTCCTAATTGCTTCCCTGGAAAAGGGAAAACTAGTCAGCGATTCTAAATGATGTCTGTTGCTTTTTCTGGATTTGTTTTTAGTTTGGGTAGCTAACATTTCCTATTTTCCAAGCTCTGAAACCTACCAGCATATTTTAAATAGATGAACGCAAGGGAGAAATAAATGAGCAGTCTATCTTATCGCTCATAAGTATAATAACACTTATTTCTTATTTGGTCCACACATGGAAAGTATTTTGCATGGGCCCTCTCTGGCCTCCTCACCAAGCAGAATCACACTTTTAGTGAAGCAGTTGCCATTTAGTTTGGGGCTGGCCTTCTGGTATATACATCAAACTGGATGAGAACCAAATATCTGAAAAGCATGTGTGTTATGCATACATGCACCTAATTTAAAAGAGTGCTATTAATTAAGGAGCTGAGAAAAATACTCTTGAGACCCTTATGCAGCATGCATTTGAGCTTACTTCAAAAATGCAAAGTTAATCTCCACCTAATGCTTCAGAATGTGGAAAACACATTCTGGGCTAGAGGAGAAATGATCTGATCTCTCCTATCCCAGGGAAATCAGATCTCTTAAGACCTAGAGAAATGTGTTCGCAGCTATTTCTTTTCAATGGGAACTACCCAGAGTTGGCACCAGGATCCTACTTTTACAACTCTGTTTTGATGTCATAAATCCGTTGCTTAGCAGCCAGACGCCAAGCCATGAAATCCATGTTTTGATGGGCTCTGAGCTCTGTTCAAATTTTGTGTCCAGCTGTCTTCTGCTAAATTACTTGTTTTTCGGGCATGAAGCAACTGTGTGAGGATGTGTTTTCCACCCCTGTTTACTAGCCGAGGCCACCTTGAGCGTTGTGTCCGGGAGTCAGCAGAATAGCGCTAGTAATTCATTTATCAAACTGACACGCTTCATTGTCAGGACTGTCCCCCAGCACTCAGTACTGTACTAATTAGAGAAACTTTAGCACCAGTCAGTTTTCTGGCCCAAGAGTCATTTTTCATTCTGGAATGGCACTTATGCTGGAATTCACACCACTTGTGCCATCAAGCAGCCGAAATCCAATCTCCCCAGGATTTAATTGTACTTTCCAGAGTTCTTTCCTTATTCCTAGCTTCTTCTTTTATTTTAAAGTAGTTTCTTTAAAGATAAACTCTTAAGCCCATTTTGGAGACCATGCACTCTTCTTTAGAAGCAAGACCCCTACCTGCTTGATATGAAAATTGGCAGGTGTTTAACATCCCCCCAACTGGGACAACACCAATGAAAGCTTCACCCATTCCTGGATGGAAAGCATTGGATTGTCAATGAACCAGCTACGAGACTATGCAATATAAAAGGTTCATTCACGTTCATTATGAATTATCAGTGTGGCAGTCAGTAGGCAGTTGCCTCTCAGCTAACACCTCTTTATGTTGTGTGCTATAATGCTGTGGTGGGAACTCCACTGATGGAGTTTCTTCTTTCCCATCTGGCTTCTTGTTAGGTTCAGACAATAGGGGGCCCTACAAGGAGGCTAGACGCTTGAAGGAGGCAGAAGGATGTGCTTTTTCTTATTTGCTTGCTTACTGGACTGGCAAAATCCATCTCATATTTGAGTTCAAATCCCATTTAAAGCCGAAATGAACCCTTAGCAAGGATTTATAGCCTATAGGTCAACCCCAATTAATAAAAGGCAAAATAACCCAGAAATGGGAAGATTGGGACAGATTGAGCAGCTCTAGTTGAAATTTGAAAAATGATTGATGAATTGAAAGTTGCTAAGAGAGTAGACCTTAAACATTTTCATCCCAAGAAAAAAAACTGTCATTGTGTGGAAATAGATGTTAATAGACTTACCGTGGTAATAATTTCACGATATGTACATTTGTCGAATCATTATGTTGTATGCTTGAAACTAATATAACATTATAAGTCAATTATATAACAACTAAAAATAAAGAAATTGTGAAGAATATTCTGAAAAATCTAAAATCTATTCGAGACACTGTAGCACGATACACAGAACCTATTTCATTACTGCCTTTCTCATAGAGTACATGCCAATACTGCAGATTGAAAATACTGGTTCCTTTCCACCAGGTCTTATAACCAAGGGAGATGAAGCAGATAAATGTATAAGTCACTCTAATGTTAGGAAACTCTAATCAATGCTACAACTGAGCTAACAACAAAGTCTGCAAAAGGAGAGGAGAGGGAACAATCAGTTTTATCTATGGATCTTTATACAGGCTTCATTGCACATGTACAATTGAATTGACCATTAAAGGATGGTTAGATATTTTTGGAACCACCCAGCTTTCAATGAGCATTTTTTACATACTATCCATAATCATTAACAGTTTTACAATGAATCTTTCAACAATCTGCAACCTAGTATCATTGTTGTGATTTGACAGAGAAGGACACTTATACAAAGAGAAATAGAGATAATTTTTTAAGAGCTACAGATGACAAATGACAGAGATGATTGTCTGGTCTATATCTAGTGTTCTCTAACCTAAAAATGTTATAATTAAAATATGCAGATATTCAATATGTTCTTAATAGGCAGAGAGGGATTCAGAAGCTTAAAAAGTGGCCACTTTCCTAAGAATCCTTTAAGGAAAGAGACAAGGAAATGGGTCATTGCTGTACAGCATGATAACTTTTATGATAGATGAGGTCATTAGATATCATGCAAGTACATAAGAAGGTTGAGTGACCCATTTGGTTCAATTTGGAAGAAAGAGTAGGAGTTAGCCAGACTCATAAGGAGGAGACAGGCATTGCAGACACACCAAACGATCATGGCCCAGAGGTAATATGGTGATTTTGTGAAATGGAGGGGGTGATATGTGATAGGACAGACAATATTAGAGTGGAAGGGTGATAGGTTAATCTAGAGAAGACAATAACAATCAAATTATAGAGGGAGAATGAGAAGGAGAACTTTAGTATCTCTTCCTTTAGGACACTAATCCTAATGGATCAGGGCCCCACCCTTATGTTCTCATTTATTCTTAATTCTTAATTACCTCCTTATGGGCCCTATCTCCAAATACAATCACACTGGGGATTTAAGGATTCAACATACAAATTTGGGGCTGGGGGGAACCCAAGTCAGTTTATAGCATTGTGCTAAAAAGCTCAAATTGTAAACTAAAGTCAAAGAATATCTATGGAAGGAAACAA